CTCCCCCCACCTTCCAGCTGCTGTGATCAACAACCCATCCCTCCCCTGGCCGGTACACTTGCCAGTCCCCCCCAGCTGGTACACTCACCAACCCTCCCCATCAGCCTGTTCCTGCACCCTCACTTGCTCCTGCCCCCTCTCCCTTGTCCCCACATTCTACCACCAGCCTGCTCATGTACCCTCTCCCTTAGCCCCACACCGGACACCCAACCTGCTTCTGTTCCCTCCCTTCTGGCCAGACACCCTCTCCCCAGCACAGAATCATAGAGCTGGAAGAGACCTCAAGTCATCAAGTCCAGTCCCCTGCCCAAGGCAGGACCAATCCCAGAATACTGAGAGTCAGGACTGGTGGCTGTAAGCAAACTTTATGGGACTGCGGGAAACTTGGCCATACCCATGATAAATGGACATCCAGCTAATTAAAATCATGCCAGACCATGATGTTAGCAGACAAGATAGCATCGGACTAGAGAAGTTCAACCTGTACAGCTTAATAGTTGCTTAACTGCATTTACATATAATCTTCCTTCATAAATCAATCCATTCAGCCTCAGCATTTTTGTTGCTCTTTTTCCAACTCTCTGAAATGTACCTACATCTTTCCAAGAGATGACCAAACACTGAGAGCAGTGTTTCTAGAGCACCATCACAAGACTCATCTAGAAAAGTACTATCATGTCTGGGAACTATAATCACTAGCCCAAAATTGCATTGGCCCTGTTTTTTTCCATATTGTATTCTAAATTCAGAGCTAATAACTTTATAGCTCCTTTTCAGCATTAATGTTTTCCAGGTATCTCCTTTCCCATATTTTGATCATTTCCCCCTATATGTTGTAGTTAGTAATTTTCCCAAATTGGATTTCATTTTGGTTTTTCCTATCTTTTTTACTAGCCTCTGTAAGTTCTTTTATATTATTTGTTTGCAACACCTCCCGGTTTAGTTTCAAACTGCAATTGAATTAATTAATATGCATTTTTCGTTTACTTCCAGTTGACTGATGACCATGTTCAGTAAGACTAAATCTAACACCAGTCCACTGAAATCCAAGTATCACCAGGACCTCAATACATTGGGGTATGTCTACACTACCCCGCTAGTTCGAACTAGCGGGGGTAATGTAGTCATCCGCAGTTGCAAATGAAGCCCAGGATTTGAATTTCACGGGCTTCATTTGCATGAAGCCGGCCGGCGCCATTTTTAAATGCCGGCTAGTTCGAAACCCGTGCCGCGCGGCTACACGCGGCACGGAGTAGCTAGTTCAGATTAGTAGCCGCGGGGATGCAGGTGGGATGGTGCTGCGGGAGCCGGGCGTGCGGCTCCTGATGGCAGCTGTAACAGACGCTGTGTGCCCCTTACAGCTGCCATCAGACACCCCCCATCGGTTGGCACCCTGGGCAGCTGCCCGGCTCGTCCATGCCTCCTTCCAGCTCTGGCCCCACCCATTCTCACCACTGCCCTACCTCCATCCCACCATGACTCCAGCCCCTCCCCCAAGCACACTCCATCCTCACTCTGATTCTGTCCCACTCAGCACTTCCTGTACGCTGTAGAACAGCGGTTTGTGATGGAAAGGAGGCACTCGGACAGAGGGGGAGGTGTTGATCAACAGGACCAGCAGCAAGCAAGAGGTGCATGGGAGTGGGGCTTGCAACAACCACAGCACTGGTGCCATGTATTTGCTGTTTGTTATTATTACGTCACCACTTCTAGTTCCAGTTCCACTGAACACACCTTGCAGAATCAGGGCTCACAGTTTTAAATAAGAGTATTTTAGTCTGATTTTTAAGGAACAATTAGAGAAAAATATTAATCTTCACTCATGTCAATTAGTAAGCCTATTTGCCAAAGTAAGTGCAAAGTAAGTGCTACTCTATGTCAGTTGGTTACAGAATCTAGCCCAACATTCTTTATTTTCAACTCTTTGGCCTCAGAAGGCTTTTTCTATTTCTAAGGCACATATGTTCAATACATATTTTATTAAAAAATCATTTTTGGCCCAACATTCAATCATCATTACATTTTATGACTGTCTTTGAAGATGAAACATGCAAGATGACTTATTTTTTAAAAAAACACTTGTTAGAGCATGTATTTTTATTAAAGAAAAAAAAAACCTAAGTTGCTGTCAGTGGTTTTGTTAATGTCACGTGTTAAAGAAATCCAAAGCAACCTAGGCTTTGTACCTGATATTTTACTTTAAATGTAATAATACATTTATTTAAACATAGTTCTCCTGCATATCAATAGCACAAACCATCCCAAAATTATTTAACCTCTAATTTGGCAGAAATTTTCTTTTATATAATTGTAAAATTTGTTATTTTTTATTATTTGTCATTTGGTAAAATTTTGTACATTGTATGGTCCATTTTTTTCTCAGTATGAAGTAAGTTCTATTTTATGACCAATTTTTAAGGAGATCTGTGAGCTGTAGACTAAGCTTTATGACTCCCAGGTTAGGTGAATGCTTTTTCGGTGAAGTCTTGTCTGTGGTTGTTTGGAAGCAGCAGCAAGTAAATTTCAGGATAGCAAAGACATCAGTGCTTTTAAAATTTGTAGAATTTGTATACTGTTCCCACTAGGAATGTAATTGTGTGGACAATTAAACAATTAAACTATAAGCAAACCTTATCAGTTAATGCTATTGACTACACACATCCCTCCTGCCCCCCACAAGTAAATTTTTTAGCGGGCTGGCCAGCAGCACGGCTCAGGGCTCAGTCCCGGCTGGCACCAGGTCCTTGGATCTACCCTCGCTATGGCTATGCAAAAAAAAGTAATTTAGGAGCTGGGCAGGCAGGCAGCCCAGCTCAGTCCCAACTCATGCTGGGTTGAGGGAGCTACCCTCACTGAAGTTCCTAAATTACTTTTTTTGAAGAGCCAGAGCAGGGGTAGCTCCCAGGACCTGGCACAAGCTAGGACTGAGCTGGGCTGTCTGCCTGCCCAGCTCCTAAATTACTTTCAGTGCAGAGCTGCAGCAGGGGTAGTTGCCAGACCTGGCAGGAGCTGTCCCTTACTGATAAATCATGTAGTCAATAAAATTTTTGTTGACTACACTATTAATGAATTACACACTTAACATGCCTAGTTCCCACTGAGCAGTGGTAATGGCAGTGGTTCCCTTCATGCTCAATAGGCAGCCTCCTTCAAAAGGTTTCCACAATCAAAGCACAGTAGAGAGGACTCCAGACTAGATCCTTACCTTTTCTTTTTCATTTTACTCTCAACATGATTTGATTTCTTATATAGACATGGGCTGGAATTTTCAGAGGAACCAAGGTAATGGGAAATTCAATGGCATATGAGCAACTTAAAGCATTAGGCTCCTTTGTAAATCCCAGACATATATTTTTAATGAAAGGAGAAAGGACAACTCCATAAGTGGAAGTGAAGAGGTGGGCAGAGAGATAATTGTTCATAGATTTTTAAGACCAAAAGGCACCATTATGATAATGTAATCTCACATCCTGCATAATACAAGCAATAACATTTAACCCACTGATAACTTCTACTTGAGGTTAAGCATTTCTTTTAGAAAGACAGCCAATTTTGATGTAAAAACTACGGCTAAGTCTACACTGTGCACCTTACGATGAGTGGCTGTGCTGCTGCATCGGCACTTCTATAAGGTACACTGTGTAGCCACTCTTCGTTGCCAGGAGAGATCTCTCCTGGTGACAAAATAAAACCACCCTGAATGAGGGGTGATAGATTCCTCAATTGGAGAATGGCTTCTGCCAACAAAATGCTGTCTACACCAATTTTTCGTCATTAAAACTTTTGTCATCGGGGAGTGTTTTTTCACACCCCTGAGGGATAAAAGTTTTAACAGAAGTGTGAGTATAGACAAACCCTGTACGACAAAGGGTATGTCTGTACTGAGTCTTACAGCCTAGGTCAATTGACTCAGACTCAGAGAGCTTGGGCTGTGGGGCTAAAAACAGCTGTGTAGATGTTTGGGTGTGGTCTGAAGCTTTGAGACTGACACACATATATACCTTTTGCTGGATTTCAGACCCCGGCCTCCAGACTGAGCCTGGATGAAGACACTGCTTTATTTAGCTTCATAGCTGACCCAGACTCTGAAATCTGGCACAATATCTCTTGGTAACTTCTTCCAATGATTGATTATCCTCACTGTTACAGGGCACCATATTTTTAGACTGAATTTCATAGAACACTAGAACTGGAAGGGACTTCAAGAGTTCATCAAGTCCAGTCCCCTGGCCTCATGGCAGGACCAAGTACCATCTAGATTATCCTATCTAGCTTCAGCTTCTATTGAATGCCTTTGTGTGATATATCTACTAATA